TGACAATGAGTCGATTCAAGGCGACGAGCCCTGGCCGGGACAGTATATCGATGTAACGCGACCAAGAAGACATCCCGACGAAGATATTAGCTGGCCACGACCGGGGTAGCCTACGATAGTATCCAACTGATAGTGTACAATAAAAGAATACATAAATCCTGAGACTGGCCCGAGCAGAAAGAGAAAACTGGCGTGCGGCATTATGTCAGCACAGCCACATCAAGCCCTCTCCCACACCTGCAACCAACCTTTCGTCTGGTACTCGCTCGCGCTCACTTTTTGCGCGTCTCCGGCCATATACTAGGTAATAAGTGCTACGCTGACCCTACTCTCCAATGGAAAGGTGAGAAATTCGCTTTCCATGCAGTGGCCGCATGTTAAGGGTGTTGCTCGTCAGGTACGAAAGAATCGAAAAAATTGGTGCGCGCTGTCCCTGTTTTCGCCGGAAAGCCTCATGATTCAATCCTATCTTTCAGGCGAAGGTGCCACGCCCGTTGTTTCGCTTACAAGTCGCGTCATATTCACTCCACCGCCTGACCTCAGGAACGTATGGCGTAGTGTACAAGGCTCTCGACAAGAACAACAACAACATCGTCGCGCTGAAGAAGATTCGGCTTGAAGCAGAGGATGAGGGCGTTCCAAGTACTGCCATTCGCGAGATCAGTCTGCTCAAGGAGCTCGAAGACGACAACATCGTCAGGTGTGTGACCCGTCTATCGTCGTTTGCACTGTTGTTGACGACACTTTATGCAACAAGACTCTTTAACATCGTCCATGCTGACCAGAAACTGTACCTTGTCTTCGAGTATCTCGAGATGGATCTGAAGCGGTTCATGGAGGAGGGGAATCGGGAGAACTCCCCCATTTCGCCTGCCCTGGTCAAGGTGCGTTTCTCTGGTGCCACTCATTTTGAGTTTTCACTCCATCGACGCGTCAAAACACGTTATACCAGACAAAGCATGTTCGGGCGCGCTCTATGGCCCGTTTCATCGGTCACGTGGTTTAACGCTATCCCGCTTTGCGACGCGTCATTCGCGGTTTTGCATTCCGAGACGCGTTTTCATTTGACGAACTGGCTTGAATCCTCTAGAAATTCACGCACCAGCTGAATCTTGGGCTGGTATACTGCCATTCGCGCCGTATCCTCCACCGCGATCTCAAGCCTCAGAATCTTCTCATCGACAAGCACAACAATCTGAAGCTGGCGGATTTCGGACTGGCGCGAGCGTTCGGGCTCCCCATGAGGACCTATACGCATGAGGTGCGCGGGATTCCTAACATTTTGATGGGGTACTAGATACTCGTTCTTTAGGTCGTGACGCTCTGGTACCGTGCGCCAGAGGTCCTTCTCGGCTCGCGCCACTACGCGACCGGGATCGACATGTGGTCCGTTGGATGCATCTATGCAGAGATGGCGATGCACGGGCAGCCCCTGTTCGCTGGCGACTCGGAAATCGACCAAATCTTCAAGATATTCAGGTGCGTCGGATGCTGCCCCTTCGGAACTCTACTTACGCTACTGGTGCAGGATCCTCGGAACACCGAATGAGGAGAACTGGCCAGGCGTCCAGGGCCTCTCCGACTACAAGACAACGTTCCCACAATGGTCTTCGCAAGAGCTCGCGCGGGTGGTACCAGTGCTCGACGCGGATGGTATCGATCTTCTTCAGGCACGCGTTCCTCCCTCGCCCGCGGTGGATTGCATGCTGACATACATACTTTCAGGCCACGCTGACCTACAATCCGGCCAAACGTATCTCTGCAAAGCGCGCACTGATTCACCCTTACTTTTCAGATTATGTGGCTTGATTCCTGACCTGACTCGATGCATCGTCCACATTATGTTATTCCATCTATCCGTCAGATTAGACGTGGTTGTAAATCTATTTTTTTTCCGAGTTGAGGTGGTTGTGTCGATGGTGAAAGTACAGTTGCGGTCAGGCGTTTTGAGAGGAGCGCAAGAAATCTGAAAGGTCCAAGTCGGTATCGAAGACCTGATGATCGCCAATAACGGACGCCGCCGCCACTGAAGGGGAAGAGCGGAGGGGAAACTGGTCAACTGGAGAGGGACTTGGGCACAAATAGGTCCATGAGCATCCTTGCCTAAGGGCTGGGGCCAAGGCTCTATTTACGAGGAGGAAACAGCCTATCACCAAAAGTCTCTCGAGAAAACACGTCGATAAAATAATGCGGTTATTCTACAGTGTATGTACAAAGCTGCAGCGTGGTATCAAGAATATCAAAGCGATTCGATAGCTCTCCTCACCACTTTCGCACGGAGTTCGATCATACCAAGCTGCCGCTCGCCGTCCCTCTTGAACCGTTCGTACTCAGTCTCGATCCCCATTTGATACCCAAACTAAGTAGATATCATTGATTTCCGCCTCAAACGTCGGGAGCCCGGCACGAGGGACGCCGGTATTTCAGCTACCAGGCGCAACATAGCCAAGCGATTTTTTCCTGATGAAAGAAAAGGCGCGTTCAGGTTGACCCAAATTACGAGGATCCATAATGTGACGCAGGTGGAAGATAAGAGCGAAGGATGCTCCGATTGACAGACCTGACAGAAGGGCCGAGCAGAGCGATCCACTTCACGGGCGGGACTCGGTTGCATCGCAGTGCGTAAAAGAACTCGAGAGTCGAAAGGTCCCACGCAAATGCCAGCCACGCACACGTGCGGTATAGAAGTCGATGGCGTAGTGTTGCGCGTCGCGCGCCGGTGTGGGCGTTGTGGTAGCATGCCTTTTTTAAGAGCTGCGCACCTGTGGTCTGAACCTTCCGACCTGTGATTTATTTCCCTGGCGGTTACCGGGTGGACCAGCGGCGTCCGAACAAATTACACCTGATCTTCAATTTGGCTTTGGAGTTGAGGCGCAATGTAAGTAAACCGAGAACATTCAGGAATACGTTTATGATTTCGTGGGTATGAGTAGAGCGATGCTGGCAATAGGCAGGCAGGCCGGCGGGGGCGAGCGAATTGGATGGGTCATTTCTGTTCAAGTACGATGGTTGAAGCATCGAGGGTTGAAACTTTTGAAATGAGTCAACCCTTCAGTGACAGAAACTTGGCAGGCTAAACAAACCACAGATACATATTACACAGAGAGTCCGCGGTTTTCTACGACCGTTTTGTTCCGCCTATCTCTATGGAACCTCGAGTCATGTTTCCCCCGTATTATGAGATCTTTTTTCATTCTTTATTCCCACTCACAATCCTCACTCCTTAGTTTTAGGGTACCCCAAACGTCTCAGTCCGTAGTTTCAGTGTAGTTGCAAGTCACCGAGATCAAGATTCCGGTGGGTCCGGGTTCGAAGTAGGGATCGGCACCGTATCCGTATGGTACGGTGATACGTACGTACGTACGGATACGGTGTCCGTACCGTGAGCATGCAGACCACCCTCTGCGAGCTCCGTACGTACACGGATAGAACCCGTACGTATCCGTACCGTATGTCCGTATACGGCCGTATACGGAATCACGCCGTGGTCCCCACCAAATTCAACCATTTCAACCCATCATGGCGGCGAAATGTTCCCGGCAGGGCTATCAACCTCCTTGGGGGTATCCCGGGATCATCACGACGGCTGCCAAACGCACGGAACATAGTGATACCCACGGCACGGAGACCGGCATTGCTCAGCCGTCGGCAACCCTTTGGATTCCCACCCCACTTTTCGTGAGATACAGTGGTGGTTTGTCCCTGATTAATCCCCACTGGCATCTAGTACTTCTACGGTTGCCCAATGTCCTCAAGCCAGCCTGAATCTGGGTCATCAACCAAGCCAAGGTTGAACTTATTAATCGGCCGTACGTATCACGTATACGGCCGTATCTGATCCGTACCGTACCGTATGGGCTCGGCGGATGACCGTACGTATCCGTACGTATGGAAAAATTGTTCCGTATTCCCGTATTTTGACACGTACCGTATACGGTACGTACGGTGCCGATCCCTAGTTCGAAGTCAGATGACTGCCTTTTTAAGGCAGTAAACGGTAGTCCGCACTCCTCAGTCTTGAAACACCGACACAAAATGACTTGATTTAGGGTTCTATTGACAGGCTACAAGTTTCCATCTACACTGAGCCATTGGCAACTCATTTGGGCGGTTGACTTGCCGAAGCGGCACTGATGTCCTAAACAGGATATCAGCCCCTATGTTCGGTTTGTCTGCCTTGCAAATGTCTCTCCGCACACGTCAAGAGCAATCGAAGTTAGTGTGCCTTTCTCTCTCACCGTTTGAAGTTTTAGACAACACAATCACCTCGAGCAAGGCTGTAAAATAAGTGGAACATACCCGGCACACCGTTATCAATTATGCAAGGCTTTGGAAATTACTGTAAGCATTTTTCGATACTGAAAACTCTCCTTAGAGCCACTGGGGCCTGTAAGGACTTTTTTGAAAGCATCCGGCGCACCTTGCTTAACGATCAGTGGTTTGGTTGATTTTAGGCGCGTGGGAATAATGTAGTGGCTGTCATGCCGAGAGTGCCGAGATCGAAGAAGGCGATCTTCAAGTCTCAAGTCTCAAGTCCCCGCAGTTGTGGAAGTTGAAGCATGGAGTTGAGACTGCAGAAAATTGTACAGAGTGATTCTATGGAACTCGGACTAAGGACAAAAATAGGTATGATCTGAAGTCCTTGACCTCGCACAAAACGCGTGAATAAAGAACGATAAATAATGCCATACCGTATCCTTCCCATGAACCCATGGGACGGTTTCTTACACCTCCCCTCGTTCTTTCTGAGACCTCAAACAGACCTCCTGCGTCAATCCTGCGTCCAATCTCCAATCTCCCGAGTCCCCCCCAATGCAACTTTGAACCCGCAATATCGTTCCCATGGATCTATGGGCCGGTTTGACTGATGCTCTATTCGATTACTATTTGCTTCAAGTCTTAAGTTCAAGACAATGCTTGCCAGGTCCGATTGTGATGTCCTCCTTGGCTCTTCTTCTATGTTCTGTTCATGTACCACCCTTTTCCACCTGCCCTTCACCTGCCCCTTGGCCCAGTTGGTGAAGGCGCACGACTGTTATAAGATTCAATCGTGAGATCGCAAGTTCGAACCTTGCAGGGGCAGCCCTTATCTTTTTTTCGTCGTTCCCACTATTAGCCTCAGCCGGCCACGGGCGGAGAGGCCTTTGGCTTTTAACACTGTTGCCCTAACGCCATCGTAATGGCCTGGAGAAAAATGCCCCAAGATGTCCCAACACTGATCACTGATCCTTTTCACGTTTAGCTAGTGTGAAAGTCAATGCTCCACGACGATGTGGAGCTTGAGTGCGCACGCCGCAGACATAGAATCGGTGAAAGATTAACACTTTTGCGCCCAACGTACAGGGGTATATACGTTTCCCCGCCTGGAGAAACGTTGACGATCAAAAAAAAAAAGATACTACATTATAAGCGTGACGCGTCGCATTACGACATTCAACAACGTCCTTGGGAACCCCCGGTTTTCCGTATGTACAGTATACAAACTACGAAGGGCATATGGTATAATGTACAAAGATTTCATTACACGTTCATCTCCAGCTAGATCCGGACGCTCGGACCGGTGATTGGGGAGGGGAATAGGACGAATTTCGACTGAGATACGACTGCGAAGGTGGAGGACCTGGTCGGGCAAAGTACCCAGAGTGTGAGGCCGCAAGAGGGGGAAGAGGAGGAGGCGCCGGCTCCGGCAAGAAGAGTGGGACGGTGGGGATGAGCTCAAAGACGTGCTGCGCAACAGCTCGCGAAGGCCGGCCTCCGGGCTGCATTGGATCCACGGCGCTCATGACAGCATGCACCTGTGCGTCTTGCACAGTGGGCTCCCCATCGGGGCCCGGTGTTGCCACGATAGTTGAGCCAACTCCCCGACCATCCCAGAGACAACGGATATCATTTCCCGGGATGATCTGCACCAAACGTCCAGTCTCAATGTTCCGAATCTCGATGAACCGAGAGTCAAAGAGGAGGATGTAGGGCTGGTGGAGGGCGACTCTTTCCGCATTGCCCTCCCATTCAATGGTAGCGCCCCCGCGTCTGGGATCTCCATGTTTGTCAACGTAGACTCCGAATTCTGTCGTGACATGTGAGACCATGCACTCGTAACTTCATGTCGAACGCACCGTTGTAGCACAACAGGAATCCGTCTTCGTTTGACCGGAACATTCCAATGGGACGACATGCATCACAACGCTTCGATAATGCAGCAAACCTTGCATCGTCTCGTAGGGGGATGGTGACACTTTTAAAGCTGCGAAAGTGTCAGGAGAAAGTCACGTCGCATTGTAGCAACCCACTCATTGAGATCCATAATCTCAAAGCCCTTGGTGCAAAGGATGACAATCTTGGCCTTAAGGAAATACAGGTCGAATGATTCAGACGGCAAAAAAAAGTCCTATACGCTCATTAGAATGTGCGTTGTTTCATAAAGCAGTACTCACTCTGTAGATCCGGAACCATTCCGACTTTGTTGACCGGAAGCCGAGACGCGAGCCCAAGCCGGCAGGAGCCTTGACCTTTTCGTTGATCTTATCGCCCACGGGCTCCAGGACACGGAAAATACTGTCCAGCTGAGGAAGGTTGTGAGCCTGATTTGACATTCAAAGCCCGGATGCACGTACCCCCTTCTTCTTCATATAGATGACAAGCGTCCGGTTGTGAAGGGTGCCGACGCTGAAAAAGTGCACGTCTTTGGTCCCATTCAATTTCTGCGGCACCTGCGATGTGTGCGTGCCCTGCGGGGAAGAGGGAACCAACGCCTCGATGTGGTAGGCGAACAATGACTGCACACAAATGTCAGACACCGGCGATCGTAATGACTCTCCACGCACCTTGTCGGCCAGAACGAGGAAGATGCCAAACTCATCGAGCATCGCACACTGAGTCACCATTTTGAGGTGCAGGACACGGCGCATAGCTGCAGGACGATGAGCGCGCGAAGGATCCGCGAAACTGCAAAACCTACATCTAGGATCGTGGCGGAACCCAATCCACACGCCTTCCGCGCACCCAATGGCGACCAGGCCGCGTCCGTCAGAGGTATCTGCGTAGTGTCAGCATTCCGTGTATCACTAGGAGAAACAACACACTGAAAGGAACGGAGCAAGTGACCTTGCCCGTAAACGACGTGTCCTGATTCCACTGGGGCGACGTTGAACCCACTTGTACGGAAGGCACCAAGAACGTGTCCGCGCTCAACGTTTCGACCTCGAACACCTTGTTCGACTCCTGCACGACCTTGCGAATCCCGATCGCCTCTTCCAACTTTTGCTTCCACTCCGAGCGCGCCTGCGGCGTATCGGAAAAGAGGATGTGCGGGCCACCCAGCCGGCCATTGTGATGGATCGTCCAGGGATACACGACGCGCGAGTCGCTGGCGCTGTCGGGCGTCGCTGAAGCGACTGTACCGTTAGGATCGTGACGGTCTCCGCGCTCTCCACGTAGATTGCGAAGCAAGCCAGCACCACGCTGTGTTGGCGGGTCAGTGAAGTTGACTAGCGTTAGTAGATCTAGAGGAATCGGCTGGAGAAAGTGTTAGCACAACCCACATATATCGCACCAAGACTTACTCGTCGATTGACTTGGTACTTGGTGACCCCGTCCCTCTCCTTGGGCTTGGTCATCACCACTGTGGACCGTTCAGACTTGTACCGATGACAAACCAGCGCGCTCACAGTAATTATCAAACAGCACCACAAACAACTCGCTCCATCCGCTCCATTCCAGCGAGGGGATGGTATTGTCAGGCTGCCGAAGGACCTTGCCCGCAAATATCAAAGACCGGTTCGGGTCGAGCAGGTCCATGTCCTGTGCACATGAGCATGGATCATCACGCAACAAGCAAGACACGCACGATGCCCTCTCCAGGTTTGAAAACAAAGTTGGAGTTGTACCGCCAAAGCTCCACCTTTTGCTTCGCCGACACTACACCCGGCTCGGTATCCTTTCCGAGCGCCTTGATCACCTCGAGCACCTGCGGGATTTCCTTGCGGTCGTCGTGTCCGTTGGCCGTTTCGTCTAGGATGCCCTTCAGCAATAACTCGTATCGGAGCAGTCTCGGGATTGGCCGATTGATGAAGTTCTTCATGTCAAGCCGGTGTGCGTCGGGATGCCGGACGCATTGCTGCATACATTCAGCGCGATGTAAAAAAGGCATAAGGTCGAAAACATACATCGACAAAGTTCTTGAAATCAGGGTTGTTGGCCATCTCGTCGTCGATCCGGTAGGCCGCGATCGGGTAGTTGGGGATGTACTCCATGTACACGTCGCGGAAGTTGAGCGCCGCGTCAAACATCGCGGCGGTGACGCTGCGGATGGTCGGGTGCTGCTCGCGCTGAATCTCCTGGAACTTCTCCACGAGCTTCAGGTGGTGCGCGTGCAGGTCCGAGAAATTGTGGAACACGTCCTCGATGAACTGCTCCAGTCGCTCCGGCGCCATGATGGGCGGTCGCGCTTCTCGCAGCGGAATGATGTACATCTGAAGGGAGGCTTTCAGTATGAGGTCTCGGGCAATACTCTACAAGCCTCACATTTTGTATATTCTCCAAATCCTTGACGTACGCCATCTCGCCCTTGATCAACTCAAATATGATCCTAGAAAACGGTCAGCCGAACTGCCCGCGATCCTCGGGTTACGAAAAGAACGCACGACTGGCGCTTCTGCTCCTCTTTCGGCATCGCCTTCCGGACCTCGGGCGAGACGAGGTCGTGCCACTCCCACTTGCCCGGCGTGCCCTTGCCCATGGCGGACTGGAACGTCCGCAGCTGCGCGACGCTCTGCAGGTTTTTGATGGCACCGATGGCCTCGAGCAGATAATCCGCATCGGGGTTCCCCTCCGCCGTCTCGTGGAAAATCGCGTCGAGCAGCACGGGGTACTTTTGCAGGTGCTCCGCCGGCCTATTCAGGAAGTGTTTGAGGTCGAGCCGCATCGCGTCGCCTGCGCGAGACGACTGCCGCGAACAATGCTACAGAGCGGCGTCATTATTACCTCGTAGTTGGCCAAAAGAAACGCTGCGCACCTCGAGGAATATGCGGAATTCGGGGTTTGCGTCCATCTCTTCCTTCAGACGCTTCTCGGCCAGCGGGTGGTGCCCGATATAGATGGGATACGCAAGTCTAAACTCCGCTGCAGCTGCGAGAAACACGTCGCCTAAACATTAGTTAGTATATAATTCGAGGGGCTGCACGGAAGGAAAGACCCACCAATTCGCTGTATGACCGGCGCCTGCTCTCGCTGGCGCACGTACATGACCTCGAGCAGACGCCGGTTGCACTCCCGCAGGTCCAAAATATTGCCGAACACCTCGTCGATAAAGTCCTCGAGCCGCTCAAGTGGAATGACGGGGGGAATCGCCGTCCGCAGCGGCTTGAGGAAAACGGTCTCGACGGTGTCGAGGTCCTGTACGTACTGGTCCTCCTTGTTGATCAGCTTGTGGATGATCCTGGCGAAAGATATTAGACACGTTCATAGAGATGGAGCACTACGAACGTCTGGCGATTGATCTCGCTTTCGGGGAGCTGCGTGAGGACCTCTTGCGGGACCGTGTGCGACCACTCCTCGCGCAAAGGCAACGCAGGGGTCTCCGCAGGACCTTGCGCGGGAGCGAGGAAGGTGTTGCCCTAATAAAGCATGAGCGCTTGAACTAAAGACGGAGGAAGAAACACACCCTCCGTGGACAACCATACGAGTAGCACGGCACCTCGTCCCCACAACTCGGGGAGTAGCATTTGGTCAGCATTGTGACGACCCCAGTCGGGAGCTCCTCGCGCTCGGGGGCGGCGTCCGAGCCACCCTCCTGGTCGTCCAAGAACATATACACGTCCTCGACCCCGTCCTGGAGCACGCGCCCGCCCCACTCGACTTCGTAAAAGAAGAGTTGGCTCTGCAGACTGCGCGCCACCTGCAACGCCGCGCGCCGGTCGCTCGTGGAGATGCCGTGGTTGACCGCGAGCTCGCGCTGGATCTGCGCCTGGATCGTGCTGACGATGTCCTTGCCGGTGAACGCGCGCGGGTACGGAATGCTGCCCTTGACGTGCGTGCCACGGGGGACCTTGTCGCGGAGCTGCACCGCAATGTGCGACAAGAGCG